AAAACGACAAGAGCCTTCTGTAGCCCCAGAGGTTATCTTGTTTCCTTTTCAGAATGATATAACAGTGCTTATCCTAATCATAGATTGTAGAGATCTATCACAAGTAGTTTTACATAGAAAATCTTCCTGCCATTTGAGAGAAGAAATGACTAGATAGCAACATACGATTTTCCTATCTTAGTTTATGCCCTGCTCCAATTTTTGTAGTGTTCAAAACAAAAAGAAAAGATACTTAGCAGGAAAATGTTACCCATTGCTCTAAGTTTTATGTTTTCATATCTATTAGTATGACAGGCATTCCTGCCACTTATCAATGAGAAAACGGGGGCCCAGAAAGGCAGAGCAATTTATCAAAGTTGATATAACTAGCTCAACAAACCAAGTTGCCTGAGCTTGGTAATCTTTCCACTGGTAAAATAAGAATAAACTAATGAAAAGATAATTTTTTAAATCCACCAAATCATCTGTGAATTTTTCCAATCATGAAAATATTTCGTGATTTAGCTGGATTAAGGAACAATAAGAAAATAAATAATTTAATACTCAAAGATATACAACTGTTCCTTAGATAGAAGTAATAAAAATCAGCCTGGCCAGTGTGGCTCAGTGGATTGAGCGCTGTCCCATGGACCAAGAGGTCCTGGTTCTATTCCCAGTCAGGGCACATGCCCAGGTTGTAGGCTTGATCCCCAGTAGGGGGCGTGCAGGAGGTGGCTGATGGATGTTTCTCACATTGATGTTTCTATCTCTCTCTCACTCCCTCTCTCTCTAAAAAATTCAATAAAAACATATTTAAAAAACAAAAAGAAAACTCCATGCTCAAGTACCTTTACTGGAGCATTCCACCAAGCTTAAATAAATTTTAAAAATCAATAAAAATGTAAATAGTCTATATTAGTAGAGGTTAGGTGACACTTTGGCCATAATGACCTTCCTTTGTTGACCTCGCTCTCACTCCCCAATGGTTACATCAGATTTCTATTTTTAAATCATTTTCATTTTTGCAAAGAAGACCTAATTATTCCACTAACGTGTAATGTTAACAATAAGCGATTCCTTATAGGAGCTTCAAAAAAGGAGTGAAATATGAAGACTTTTGAGAGGGCCCGGGGTTCCCAGAAGGGCCACTGGGACCATGTCTGTTCAACCAGAGAACAAGAGATTCAAGAAGGGTTTGTTGCAGAGTTTGAACAAACAAGGGAATAAAAAATACATGTCACTGTTTCATTTTCACTGAAAAAAGGTATAAAAAGGAAAAGGTTTATACTAAGCCAAAAGAACTCAGACTACATATCAATTGGTAATAACATCCTGCCTAAAGAAAAACACAGCAAGACAGACTATTTCTCTAGAGGCTTTTAAAGAAAGGCAAACAAGATGTCTTTGTGATTTGCTTAACAGTAGATACAGATTCACCCACGAACAAGATGATGCCCTTTCTTACATGAAGAGCCCCAGTGCTTTAGCCTATTTATGACTTCTTTTGCTTTTATGCTTAGAAAGTCCTTCACTTACCCCAACACCAGATAAGTATCAACTATATTTTAGAATTTACACTTTTTACATTTAATTCTCTAACCCAGCTAGAATTTATTGCGCTCAGTGGTGGGAGAAAAGTATTGAATTTTTTCCCAAAAGTTTTTTCAATCATCCTAGTGATTACCAGTATGCTTATAAATAGTTTATATACTTAGTTATAGCCAGGGAATACCTACGCATTTCCCTAAAATTCCACCTTTAAGGAGTACCTAACACCACTTTTGCTAACAATCTTTATGTAACAGTAGTCAATACATTTGGAGGGACTCAATAATCTTACCTTGGCTCACCTGCATCTTTTTTTTTTCCTCACTCAAGGATATTTTTCTATCTATCTTCAGGTAGAGAGAGAGGGAGGAAAAGGGAGAGAGAGAGGGACACATTGACTGTTTTCCCTTCAGAATAACAAAGGGATAAGGACCCCAAGATAACTTGACAACATAAGTGCAAAGAGGTAGCAAGGCAAAGATGGCACACATCTCTAGAGGATTTCCTAGAAGTCACTGGAGTCTAGACAAAAGAACCAAAGAATAGAAAAACCTAACCTTATGGATATTTCTAGGTTAAAAACACAGGAGGAGATCTCAACCCATTGAGTCAGATGATCCAGTGTACAATCAGTCTAGTGAATTTCAACGGCATTTTCTAAACATTTAGGAAGAAGGGAATAGCAAAGAGCTACTGTCTCAGACTTCCAGCCTACTAGCAAATAGACCAGAGGTCTTGGGCTCAACTGCCTATAGGAACACATAAATGAAATAAATGAGCAAAGGGATCAAGTGAATTGGGCTTTGGCGTCTGAAAAGCAAGGGGAGCACTGGAGACTTTGCAAATTGAATTCATGTCCCTGAAACACTTGCTCCTTCTAGTGGCCATACTACACAGCTGCAGCAGTTTATGCCACTGAAAATTCAAGCCAAGAATTGCCACATCTTCCAGTTTTCCTGAAGCTAAAATTATAAATTTTTATATAAATTTCTTGTTTCTTAGAGTTTGGCAATTAATTAAATTTCTTTTGAAAATACAGAGGTCACACCAGATGTACTTATGAGCCAGATTTGGCCCACAGAGCCCTAGTGTGGGATCTCAGATCATAACACACACAACCCACAAGTCACCCAATTTTCAAAAGTACTCTCCCCTGCCCCCATGCCCTGTTGTGCTTCCTGTCTGCTGCCCCTTTTCTCAATCTGCCAAGTTACTGCAAGCTACACAGAGTCCAGGGTGTGTGTGGAGCGTGAGTAAAGGATGCTACACTACCTCATTCAACTCATTCAAGAGTCAGATAACTCTGATCTTAATATAAGGCACTGCCATTTTGAAAATTAAGTTTAACTATTGTGAACAGTTATAGTAGGTCAGACTACTGAGCCAAATTAATTCCTTTTTTTTTTTTAATTGTAAGTAAAGAATAAGTCTTACATCTCAAAAAATGTCTCCTTTTTTTCTTTAAGAGCTCTTAGATGTCCTGTTTCATATATCAAAAATGACTAACTGCTCTCAGGGTCACAGCTTTGGCATCGACTAGCATTATTTCATGCTAGAGGTAAAATAATAGACTTCAGAAGAAATTCATTAACAGAACTGAAAGTCATTTCCATTGAAAATGCTGTAGGATTTTTAGCTTCTACACACAACTGACTGATTACCTACTTTAAAATATTTTTACCCAATGGCATCCTATTCCAATCAAAGGAAGTTAAAGGTTTAAGAAATGAGTTAACCCTACTGGGATTCAACCTACACATCTAGTTTGTAGATACATAGTTTCTAGATCTCTTTTCCCACAGGCTGTAACAGGATTTCTATATTAGATAATCTTCCATAATCTAGAAGACTTTCTTCTTTCACTACATAAGGATGTGGTTTTCACTGCAGGGTGTCTCAAATATAGTCACTTAAGGAGGACTGGATCAGGGAAAGTTAATATATCATGACGTCCACACACATTAGTCTAGTCTTGCTGCTACCCAAGTGCAATAAATCCTCCTTTCTATCTATCCTTCTCCACACTAAACCCTCTAATAGATGATGTTTTAGAGGGTGGCTGACTCTGACAACAATTTGGAAATAATCAGCTGTAATTGCTAGGTGAGTTCAAAATGAACAATTGTGGTAGAATAGACCAGAGACATCATAAACATAACTGATTCAAATTAGAATTCATTTTTTTTAGCTCCACGTTCTTTTGTTTCTAAATCAAATAATTTTACAGTAGACATTATAAAAATGGAAAAAGAGGGGAAAAAATTTAAGTAGTGATTTTTAATCCAGTCTTTAGAATTCTTCTTTTACCAGTAGAATAATGGCAGTTAAGTGGCTATAATGAGAATCTACTCCATCAGTCCATACCCATATTCAGCAATAGGAAGTATTCATCATTAGACATGATACTCATAAGTACATAAGCCCCTAGTCCTTCTTGGTTAAAAACAAAATACCAAGAAGACCCAGTGGCCTCAAAACTCAGTAATAGGACTAATCCCTTCATTTTTTCCCTAATACTGGCCTCTCTGAAAACAAACTCACTCTTATGTACACGATTTATAATTGTTTGTTTGTTTTTACTATCAGAAAACCTATAAAATCTTAAAATATAAAGTACTGTGCTATGAGATCAGGTAAATTATTCACATATTGTTGGTAATACTTTATTTTGTTAGAATGCTATGACAGCATCCATACTTTCCAAGAAGACTGAAAGCAGGAAAAAGAGAAGGGAAAGATTGCTAACCCCACAATACTCAAATACAACAGTATGCTCATTCCTACAAATTTACATAAGAGTATGAAACCCACCTAGTTATCTCCCAGTTATCTGGTGATTAAAGCAAACCTTTTGACAAAAAAACAACAGTACTTATTGAACAATCTTAACAGCAGAGAGGAAAATCTGATTTCTTAGAAAAAGAAAAGTATCAGAAAGACCTATAGCAAATGTTGATTTTTTTTCCTTTTTACCATGTTTTTTTGATGGTACAAATTCTGAAATATAAATCTACATGAGGAATAGCAACAAATTTTAGAGAATGAGAAAGTTACCATATTTTACATGTCACAAATAACAAATAGCTCCATAAAATTCTGTTCCTTTCATCAGAAGAAATTAGATCTCTCAATGAAAATATATCTCCCATTCTTGACTGTTTATGACATCACATCCAGAGTAGCAGATTTACTCATGAACAGTAAACATCAAATTTACATTCTTCTCTAACAACAGCCATACATTTTGCATAAAAATGACATACGACATATTATTTTTTCTTAAGAAATAATTAGTGGCCCTTGCTTTGAGCTTCATAATAGAGCAGGACACCAACTAGGCCAAGTACCCTATTCATTTTTTTTTTTTTTCCCAAAAATGCTATGGAAGTTTGGCTAATGGCATCTCACGATAGTAAAAATGAAATGATTCAATGTCAATAATGCAGATAAATGCTCATTATAATCCAACTTACCTAAAACACTGACAAATGCATCAAAAAGATGAAATGTAAGCAAAGGTTCTTTCAAGTGACCATAGTAATCTGCTATGGTTTTAAAGACATCTCTCTCAAATCCTAAGTACATAGGCTGCTTCAAATCCGAACAATTCGGCCCTATTAAAAAAAGAGAATGAGACAGAGAAACATTAACAGGACAACTACTAAGTATTAGTCTCTGTGCATTGTATTCAAAATCAGAAAGGTTTTCATGGGGAAAATCGACATTAAATAAATTGACATTATATATTTTGCTTACACAAATATGATTTATGTCTATATTTAAATCTATTATAAAACAAGAAAAATCACTGGCTTACTTCCATTTTAAAAGAAATCCACTCTTTCTTTTATGTCCTTCTGAAAGGCATATCAATTAAATGTAAACCATGATAATTTTCTTTGAAATATTCAATATTTTCCTAGTCTTGATATAGTTGACCCTGATAGCAATTAACTCACATGTGTAACAGACAAGTTATAAAGCAATTTTAAAGCTTTTCATTATTTCATTACTATAATATTCTTGAGTCAGAGTTGAATGAAATAATCAATTTCTGCCTCTAAACTATTTTATACTGATAAGAATTTATACCTTTTTCCTTTTTTTTTATCCTCACCCAAGGACTTTTTTTTTTTTTTTTTTGCATTTATCTTCAGATAGAGTAGGAGGGCGAAACAGGAAGAGAGAGAGAGGAAAACATCAACGTGAGAGAGACACATCGAGTGGTTGCCACCCACACAACCCCAACCGGGCCGAGGACAAACTGCAACCAAGTACGTGCCCTTAGTGGGAACCAAACCCGGGACTCTACTGTCCGCAGGCCAACACTCTAACCGCTGAACCAAACCGGCCAGGGCATATACCTTTTCTCTTAAAGATATTCTGAAAAGGAGACTTTACATTGTGTCTTATAATCCATTCTGATTATAAAACTCTTTATTTAATCCCCAACCAACCATCAAAAGATAGTTTATCAGAGAGAGTCATATTGCAAAGTTGGAAGCCTGGAACAACCTGGTCCCAGCCCTATCCTATGCCAGCAGCAAGGCAAAGATCCACCTATATCTGGGACCAGAGAGAAACAACAAATGCTTAGCTTTCTACAGAGTTGGCAGCAAATGCCCTCAAAAATCCATACAAAGACCACAGAGTTACAGTGCCAAGTGGAGAAACAAACTGGAGCTGCCCACGCCTCGAGGGAAATGGCAAGTAGTCCCATGAGGAAAAGGTTAGCCAGCCTTCTCTATTTCCATCACAGCATGGAAGAAAGGAGTTCAACTGCACTGGCCAGTCTGGGCCAGCAAAACACAAGACTAAACAACTGTACGCAAATAGACCTCTACCCTCAGGAGAACGAAAGACGAAGCCAGTAAAAACTGAAAGGAAATTCTAACTACTTAATTACTGTAGCTAAAGAGAAAGGATCAAACTAAAAAAGACAAGTATTCTGGGCCCTCACATTTCAAAACCACTTGGACACTGAATATGGCTTTTTGTTAGTCTATCTAAATATTCTTCTTACCTTTTAATATCTTGTACACTTCTTATAAAATAACTTAATTTGATTGACTAAAATAATAAAAATTTTGAAAGATCTATATGTGTTGGTACCACATTAACCTAGCAGCAAACACAGCCACCATTTTTGCTTGTTTCCTCCTCTAAAATACTGCAGACTTAGTCAACTGGAATGCTGTCATTAGTTAGACATATCTCAGCAATCAATACACATTACCCCTTTACCCCCAGGATAAGTACGCAGTTCATTCTAAGCAACTGTACCCGTCTGTGAACATTTCATCATTCTTGTTAAAAATACGCACACAAAAAAGAGTTTCCCTAAAAATACCAATGCATAATGAGCTCTATGAGAAGAGACTATATTTCTAAGATCTTTTATTTCTTAATCATCTTGAACTTCAGAATATTTTTTTTAAACTAGTGTTTTATAAATGTTATTCCTGACAGATTTTGGAAAAGAGTTGCTTGTATCCATTTCTGACTGAATTTTTGTAATCTACATGCACAAAGACGGAAAAAACAGTTAACCTGGTTTTGTATTTATTTGGCATTAGTCCTTTACTCTGTGGTCAGCCACAAGCCTGGCCAACAACAGTACTCAGGCCCACGTGCATATGGTCTCCTACAAATGCTGACGGACTTAAAGGAAAGAGGGGAGCGGCAGATTTACAAAAAAGAAGACACGAGGCCTTCAAAATATCATATAATCAATCAATCCTTTTGTTCCCTTTAGTTAGTTAGTTAGTTAGTTAGTTAATCCTCACCTGAGGATATTTCTCCATTGATTCTTAGAGAGAGTGAAAGGACAGGGGCGGAGAGAGAAAGAGAGAGAGAAACATCAATATGAGAAAGACATATCGATTGGCTGCCTCCTGCATGTGCCCCAACCAGGGCCTGATCCCTTTTGACTATAATGGGAATCTAGACTCATTAAAAATAAAAGAAGTAAGAAATAGGTCATAACTTTAACAGACTCAAAATAAACTTTGGGGAGCAATGAGAAATTTGGAAAAAATTAATTATTTTATAAAACTATTCAAAGGACTGACCTTGCCCTTTGACCACCTTTTTTTCTTTGACATGCAAACAAGCATCTTTATGAATATGCCAACCATCCACTGCACTTGGTACATGTGAGACATGTTCCTGTCCAAAGAATTTCCACCTAACACCACCACCACACATGGAGAACATTACTGAGTCACTCCTCACATCTTTCCTCTCCATTGATGAGAAATTCCAGTTATTCTAACCTTTCTGCATAAGTTGGTGGTTTTATGTACATATCCTCCTTTTCACGGTTTTTGATCATCACTGAAAATTCAACATCATAGCCACACCTTAATATACACTTTACAACATATTATATCCTAGATTTGTTCTTCTGTCTTCCTCTGTCAATTCCCAGCTGATCAACCTCCAAATCCTAAATTTGCCAGGAATTCAGAAATGAGTAATTTAACCCATTTACACCTTCTATCTTGTCACTACCAACTCTGACCAAAGATATAATTTAAACTTAATTGATTTCAAATGATTGAGCAAGAAGACTAAAAATCACTCTCCCAAGGTAAAACCACAGAACTCTACATCTCAGAAGTCCCAAATTATTAACCAAAAAGACAATGATAATTTTAATAGTTAAACACAGAGAACTTTGGGCTTCACACAAACTAATATTGCTATTCACATTCAGAATGATAGTATAGCATCATTTTCTGTATATTCCACTGAGATCACCCACAGTAATCTGAATAATTATTTTAGTTTCACTCTATAATCAAACAAAACTAACTTAGGTTAAATAAGTAACTCAAGAGTCTATTAATTCAAGAATGTATACACCTATATCTGTACATACTAGTCTCACCCAAAAGAGAAGAAAGAAACTACCACTCTGCAGTGATCTGTGAGACCTCAAAAGGCCTTGGAGAATAAATATCACCACTACCAGTCAAGTAAAATAACTAGATTTCTTCTCATTAAAATCATTTGAGTTAACCCATTAACCATTAGAATCCCCTTCTTTGGGTTAAGCCTTCTGAACCCCCCCCCAAAATAGTAGTGTTAAGTGATATACCATAATTACTCATTGCTTCACAGTGCCTATCATATCCAATAAAGAGGCTATCACAGGCCTATGAAATGGATTTCATATGCCTAAGAAAAATCTCAGAGGAATCACCCTGATTCAAGCGCCTTCATCGTACATCCAAATTACTGAAACAGTCTTTCTTGTTTCTCTGTATGAGGGTTCTTCTCCTTCAAAAACATCCTACATACCAGTTAGATTAACCTTCTAAAACATTTCTCTCCTACTTAAACTATTGCCCTGTAAAAAGCCAACAGTAGATAGGATCTGATGAGCAAACTGATGATGTAAATATAGGGTATACTTAGGAATACATGTTTTAGGAATAAAAATCATCCACTAAACAATGGAAGCACAAATTCCTTTCTATAACTGAGCCCTTTCACCAAGTCACAAATTTATCACTAAAAGTACAGTAACCACAAAACTATAAATTGCCAGCTTACAGGTGTCAAATCAATATTCAAGCCACTGAGCAATAATATATTCTAATTTGGGGCGCTAATTTCTGTTAATTTCATAAAACTGACAGACAGTTAGTACTTACAATTTGCTAAACACTTCATTGCTGACAGTACCCAATGAGGAAGTTCTTCTGCAGAAAAATAAAAATAAAAAGATATTTTATTCAACAGCATATAACTCTAGAAATTACATATATAGTTGGTATCAGAAGAATGTAGTATTTGCCCAAGTAATATGAAACCTATCTGCTGATCACAAATCACCTACTTACGTATCAGAACATTTAAAGATGGAAATTTTTCCTTACAAGCAGTGGTACATGTGCTCGCATAAATCATGCCTGCAAAACTTTCTAAGGACAAGATGAACTTTTTAAAGCTTTAATGACAAAAACATAAATTGGCAGTTTGTTCCAGGGAAACAAACAAATCAATTATCCTAATCATTATATTGGGCAAAGAAAAAAAAAGAGGAAAAGCAAAACTTTTAGTCACAAAATGCATTTGTGAAACCAGTTCACCAAACACCTAAAAAACCAAAGATGAATTCTGTATGTCCAAGATACAATATAAGTATCATTTTACATGTTTCAATTTTCAAAACGTTTTAAGGCAAACCAAGTTCTACTGACATATTAATACAGGCTATTCATATCAGAACATCCTTAAAATGATAATGGTTAACAATGCTATAAAAAACCCTAGATGAGCCATTTGGTAGAGTCTCTTCGTCCTTCCTGGTCCTGCCACAGCATCTGATGAGATGGGCTTGCACTCATGCTTCTGCTTCTTCATTTTCTCCCCTTTCGGTAAAACTGCAAAGACGCTAGTTAAATTGTTAGGCCTAATGAACCTGAGTCTGCGAGTGCTCTCTTCTTTCTGAAGAACTTACTTAATAAGACAAAAAAATCACTCGCCATTCAACTGGTAGCTAAAAGTATTAATGTTTGCTATACTCAGAGAACGTAAAAGGATTTCAGATGTATTTCAAAGGCAACACCCTCCTCATTCTATGTAACTTAATTTTACATGTTGGTATTAATAAGACAACTCATGAATTCACAAATCCATTTCTGATTCCTGGTGTCCTCCGTTCCTGATACAGGGGCTATAAAAGGGGAGCATTTCAGGTTTCAAAGACATATACTGTTCCTCTCAGGAAACCTAGCCTTGAGCAACCTCCTCCCTTCCCATCACTGCTTGGGCTCCTTCTGGTACAGCTCTGTCTGTCTAGCCTCAACTCTAATAAATTAAAAAACCCAAAACTACAGTACACCACCTTCCCACATCCAAAGGTCATTCTAGTTCCAGCTAATTCCCAGGTTTAAGGGTTTGAAATGAAGAAAGAACCAAGCAAAGAGCCCATTCGATTCTAGTCCATCCCTTATCCAAGGGAAGGAAGTTAAAAAATCAGTTTGGAGATTCTGGCCGACCCCATGTACCATGACTGCATTTTTCCAAATCAAAAACCAGAATACATAGCTGCTAAATGTCTTTTTTTCTGATTTATAAACTGGCTTGAAAAAAAAAAAAGATATAAAAAGCGGAAACACCATCAACCTTTAAAAAGCTACCTTTATAAAAAGAAAAAAGAAAAATGGCATAAATCAAAAAGTACCCCAGAAAACCTGGCACAGAGATACCACAACAAAAAGGTCAATGAGAACCTAAAATCGATCAGACCCCAAGATCCACCTGAAAACTGACTCAAGCTCTAAGGTAGGTCCTTAAACCTATTCACTTTTCAGGGATTTTCCAGGGATAATACAGAACTACTTAATGCCCTGGGTTGTGAACAATGAATTAGCCTCAGGATGGATTTTGCTTAGGTTTTCACTCCTGATTATTCATAATTTTATGACATTAATATGGTGAAGGCCTGGGATGGGGTAAGGGTTGGATTAAGGGGGGCAAAAGGGAAGAAAATGAGGGACATCTATAATACTGTCAACAATAAAAATACATATTAAAAAAATAAATGAAGTCACCTAATTAAATACTTTCTTTAAAAGGGGGGGTATCAGGACATGAGAGGAAGCTAGGTGTAATGAGGGGGTAAGTTTATTAAGGGTTTAGAGAAGCGTCAACTAGAAAGTGATAGACCTGTGCAACCAACATATTGGATCAACAGGAAACAAAATGGTTTTCATGCACTTACTTGACTTGTCATCAAGGATAACAACTCCCTGCTTGCTCACACTATATACATTATGTATGATGTATTTGGACTTCACAAGTTTAATATCTAAAACTTCTTCTAAGGAATCTAGGCGAAGGATTTTCTGTAAACTAAAAAGATAGATAATTACATTAATTAGTTACTTTTTAAAAAATCATTATTTACCCAAAAACCCAGCACTGTAAAAGATCAATCTTTAAAATGTGTTGTTTTCATGCATTTCAACCAATTTTTATGGGGCAAAAAGGCTAGAAATTGAATATGATAGAACATACTTGAAAAATATCCTTTTGCCATTAACATATTTCTTTACTAATTTAATAATGTAACATCTTGAATGCCAAGAAAATGATTTCATAAGATATTATTAAACAAAAATCAGTTTATCCAATGATGAGAAACTGCTACAAGTACATCTTTGTGAGAGGAAAAAAAAATGTTATATCATCATTAACTTTAATTACCTATATAGTATTGTCATATATCTAAAACACCAAATTTTTCATTGTGTTTCATTAAGAGTTTAGTGTTACTAGAAAATTTAAGAACTTTCAAATGCCTATTCTTAACTACTACATAAATGACATAGAAAATACCCAGAATTCAGTTAAATTATATTTGATAAGCAGCATAGCTACAAATAATACAAAGTTGAAATTTTTATACATAATTTCAGAAAATTAAACATGCAGAGAATAGTGAAGAAACAAATTAGAAAAGAAAACTAAAGAGTCTCATTAATATCAAAAGCACATACTATGACAATGTCATAGACTTCCATATCTCTTCCACGTTGGCCTCGGTCAGCTGCCGGCGGTACACAAGCCGGCAAGCTGGCACCTCTCCGATAGCAATACTGTGCCGCTTGTACCACATCTCAGAATTCTAATGGTGGGGAGGGGAGTAGAAAGAAAGAGAATAAACATTTCAGTAGACCGTAATATGGTTTTATGACAAATTCTTTAATTTGGTTATTTGTAATTTGATTTAAAGTAATAACAAGAAATATAAACTAACTTTCTTTGCATGGACTACAGAAAAATAAAGTATAACTCTTAAAGATTAGGTCATATTATAAATAAATATTCAAGAATTGCAAAAGAGCTATTATGATAAGCATGACATTTCCTGTGGGAATTCCAAATAATCAGTGAAGTAGCAATGAAATAAAATTTTATTATTTCAATATTAATTAAAGGAATACCTACCCAAGTTCACTCACTGTCCAAATTGAATGACTGTTTAAAATAAATTTATTTTATATTCGAGAGTTCTCTATTCTTTATAAGCAAAGATTAAATAAGTACAGTGATGAATAGCGGCCCTCAGATCATAGGCATGTGCGAAAGGCAGGTAAGACGAGAGCTCCACAAGGACGGTTGGAGATGGCAAGGAGAACTAATACACAACAAAAATGTTAATAGTAATCCTCTCTGGATGATATTAAGGGTAATTTTTTTTCTTTTGTCTCTGCCTCTAAACAATTCTACTTTAATAGAAATAGTCCTGGCTCGTGTGACTCAGTAGGTTGAGCATTGTCCCATGTACCAGGAGGTCACTGGTTTGATTCCCAATCAGGGCACAGGCTGGGTTGCGGGCTGGATCCCCAGTAGGGAGTATGCAAGAGGCAGCTGATAGATGTGATGTTTCTTTTTCTCTCTCCTTCTCCCTTCCTCTCTCTCCAAAATCATTTTTAAAATAACATATTTTTTTAAAAGTAATAGAAGCCCTGGCAGGTTTGGCTTGGCAATAGAGCGTCAGCCCACGGACCAGTGAGTTGCAGGTTTGATTCCAGCCAAGAGCACGTACCTTGGTTGCAGTACATCCCCGGCCCTGGTCGAAGTCATGCAGGAGGCAACCAGTCAATGTATACCTCTCACATAGATGTTTCTCTCTCTTTCCCTCCCACTCTATCTGAAGACAAATCGAAAAATATCCTAGGGTAAGGATTAAAAATAAATAAAAAGTAATAGAAATAGCAGTTAAGTTACTGAGCACCTGTGTGAACTCACTTGATTCTCACAACACCCTATCCTAAATGGGTATTAATTATCCCAGTCCTACCAAAAAGAAAACTGAGACAGAAACACAGTGAATGAAACAGAAACAAGCCCAAAGAGCTAGTACATGGAGGAGCCAAGATTCAAGTCCAGCAGTCTGGCTCCATAGCCCACACTCATACTTTCCACGTTATACTACCCCCTCAGCAAACACAAGAAATCATTTTATGTATTGCATTTTATTTGATATAATGTCTAGACAAGAGAGAAGATAGGACAAAACAGAAACAAAAACCATTAAGCAAAGTGGAGGCAGAGACAGAAAGAGGGAAAGTAAGAAAGAAGAAATGAATAATGAGCTCAAGTTCTTTAAGATGAACTGTTTCTCCATTGACTAATTTCATCATTCTAAAACCTATATCAAGGGAAACAGATCCTGCTCTGCCATTCCTTCTTTGGACAATTCTCAAGAAGCAGCAGTCTAGGCTTTAGTGGAATCATAACAAGCAGGAGCTTTCAAACTTCTACCACTTCATTTAAGGGGGAAGTATGAGAAAAGGCAAGACAAAAATTATCAAAACAAATGTAGATTCAGATGACCAGGAAAATGATACACTGCGGGTGGGATGGGGAAGCAGTGGATGAATCGAGACACTGGTATACCACTTCAGGGCTCCTGAAAAATTTGAAACTGAAAATGGAAGATAGAAGTTACTATCATTGGTGCATTCAAGTATGCTAACGAGCAGCTGGTTTTCCTCAGGAATTTTACAACTTTGAAGAACAAAATAGAACAGAAAAGGGAAGTTATTATATGGATGACATAAATACACATTAATTTAATATGAGATTCTATCTCTTGTGTATAAACATCACTGGGTGACCTTATAATAAACAAATGTCTGTTGAAGAACAACTCTACTGCTGGGGTCATATTAGATGTTTAAATATGAAATGTGCAAAATAATATACCTTATCTCATAGAGCTTATATTTTCATTTTCTCTAAGATAGGGGCTATCAAGTAGACCTTAAGTACTCCTCACTGGGAATTAAATAGTCCTCAAATACCCTTTGTGTTCACTCTTTCAGAATAGTTCCACTAAGTTTCTAACAGTCTATGTTTGTATTTATGCTTCACTAGACTATGAGTCCTTTTAGAGCAAAACTATATCACATATAACTGTATCTCTAAAGCCTAGCACAATGCATGGCACCCAGTAGACACTCAATAAATCTTTGTTGAGTGAATAAATTAATGACTTCCAAACATGACCTCTCCTCTAAGTTCCAGCGCCATTATCTCCATCTACCTATTAGACACTTCATTTAATACATCCCAACTTTAGCATCAAACATATTTAAAACCAAATTCATCACTGTCCCTGACATACCTGCAAGGTCCTATGAAGTCCCCATTTCTGTCACTAGTATAACTTTCTCTTGCATTTTCTTTGATAAAGGCTAAGCTGCTTAACTATTCTCCAAACTAAGATATTATACAACTTCTCCAGATAATTTTTTCTTTTCATTATATTTCCAAAAAGTGTTTACATCAAATCTTTGCAAACAAAAGTATGAATTGGACATCAAGTCCTATAAGACTAGATTAACTTAAAATATTGGTGTTACTACAATTCTTAAAAACTGCCATACAAAATTTCTTTCTGTATTTTATTTTTTAAGCATTATTTCAATTTTGGTAGTCTTTACTGGGGATATTTTTTAAGAAAAAGTATGTCCCTCAAAAAGGAGTTCATTGCATAATGAGCTTAGATTTTTCAAGACAAGCAGATTCTACCTTTGTCCATATTTTGTGTAGGGCTCATTCTACAAAACTCAATACCCCAACCTTCTCACTCTCAGCTGGTAATAAAGTTCAGGAGGAAAAGACCAAGAGGGAAAAAAGCAAATTATAGAACAGAAAGGAAAATAATATAAGAGAGTTTTAACTGAAAACTGCTTGGTCTGAACATATGAAAGCAGCTACCATATATTCAGTCAAAATGTCAACAGGCAAGAGTGGGAAAAAATGCAAAATCCAGTCTTTCTTTGTTATTGGTCTCTCAGCTATTGATAAGTAAGGTATTGTTTTAAAGTACTTTCAGACCATAGTTCAAAAGGGACTGACAGAGGAACTGAATTAAGCCTGGTGGTCCATAGACTACTACTTACTCTGCCTGCTGCTAGTCCTCAGCCTTTCAGTAATGGCACTTACCATCACAACTGGCCTCACTGGGATGTTCTCTTGTGAAGTGCCTGGTTGGGGGTCATTCCATTCTGGAAATTTAATAACATCCTTTTGGTACGGGGGCCTCTTTGGATATGGTTTCAGGGGTGAGGAAGGAGGAAATCTAGAAACCAATATGAAAATCATTATTGTAGTCAGAGGAAGACAGATATTTTAACAATAGTCATTTCTTATATCCTTGAGAATTTATATAACAGTAAACGTCATATAATAAAGACCTCATACCTAATTACATGGGTAATTATACCCAATAATATGATTTTAAAAACATTCATTCAGCCCTGGCCGTTATGGCTCAGCAGTAGAGCATCGGCCCATGAAGCAAAGAGTCCCAGGTTCAATTCCAGCCAAGGGCATGTACTTCGGTTGTGGTTCATCCCTGGCCCCAGCTGGGGTTGTGCGGGTGGCAACCAATCTATGTGTCTCTCTCACATCGGTGTTTCTCTCTCTCTCTCTCTCACTCTCTCTCTCTCTCCCTCCCTCCCTACCTCCTTCCCTCTCTTCATTCCACTCTCTCTGAAGATAAATGTAAAAATATCCTTGGGTGAGGATTAAAAAAAAATTCATTCAGCCCTGGCCAATGTGGCTCAGTTGTCTGAGCATTCTCCCACGTACTAAAAAGTCGCCAGTTCTGTTCAATTCTCTGTCGGGGCACATGCTCAATTGCAGGCTTGATCCCCAGTCAGGGTGTGTGAGGAAGGCAGCCAATCAATGTTTCTCTCTCATTTGATGTTTCTCTCTCTCTCTTGAAGGTCAATGAAAATATATTCAAAAAAATATTCATTCATCATGCCCATCAGATAGCATTTATAAAGGAAAGCAGGTATCAAGCATGTGATATAATTTTAAATTAACAGAATTTGTTCTCTTATCATTTGGCTTTCATAATTAAATATGTTCTTAATGGAATGTTCAAGCAAACCATTTCTTTCACCTAACTCAAAATCCTTACTGCCTCATAACTCCAACTGAAATTTGTTGATGATAGGTATGCAAACAGAAATTATTAATAGGTAAATCCTCAGTAATACTTGCTAAGAAAGCATATATTAGAACAAAACTCATCTGATCTAATATTTGTTTTTTTAGAGAGAGAAAAAAACATTAATGTGAGAGTGAAACACTGATCAGCCACCTCCCACATGCACCCTACTGGGAATGGAACCCGCAAGCCAGGCATGTGCCCTGACCAGGAATCAAACCAGCGACCTTCTGGTGCACAGGACGACATGCAACCAACTAAGTCACACCAGCCAGGGTAATATTCATTCTTTTAACTACTAATAAAGATTAGTCCTCCTTCCCTGGAATATTCAACTCTTCACACTGAGATTGAAGCTTCAGTCTAGAAATCCATCTCAAAGGAGGTAAAAGCTGCCCAATGTCCTTATTCTGCCTTTTAATAATCCTCTGTGCCCATCTCTCCTAGGTATCAACAGCATCACTCCTGAACTAACACATACAAGCCTAAATACAATCTAACTCTCTTTAAACTGGTCTAGACCATACCCAATAAACAACAACAGAAATGTAATTAATACATATTTTACTTAGAGGATCTTTTTCTGTTAGCTTGTTAGAAAACAATACACTGCACTGCACTGTACTGTAAGAACTCTAGTTCTTAATGTTGACATAGAAGTCAGTAGGCAATTAATTTTTTTTTAATCCTCATCTGCAGACATGCTTAGAAAGAAGGGAGACAAAGAGAAACATCAATATGAGAGAGAAATATCAATTGGTTGCCCTCTATACCAAGGACCAAACCCACAACCCAGGTATGTGCCCTGACCAGGGATCGAACGGGCAACCTTTCGGTGCACAGCACAACACTAAACAAACTGAGCCACTCCGGCCGGGCAGCAGTTAACTTTCTAGTTCGACTTTTTATTTATTTAAACCAAAATAAAGATTTAAAATTCTGTCCATGATATCCATAGGAAAAATAATTCAAATAATTATAAAGCTCTTATTCTTAAGACAAATGCAGAAATAAATAATTTTAAAATGTCTATAGTTTACAAGGAAAGTTTTATCGAGGTGAATCAGGAGAATCACAAAGAGTATTATGAAGAAACATTACAAAAGCAGTCACAGCAGACTTGAAAAAAGATGACTGACAGAGAGAAGCTAATTTCATCTTCTCTGGAAAGAATATCCAATAACTGCAATTTATTTGAAAGGTCAGTTTTGAGTCAGTAAGAAAAAAAAATGAGGACCGTAAATCATTAAATCAAGTTAAAGATAAATAAACCGAAAGATAGCTTAAATTTTTGGTATTAAGTTACCAAGGCTGTTTGTTATTTCCAAATGATTCCAAAATACAAATTAAATTGAACTCTAAAGCCAGTGAAAGTTACCCTACTTCGTAAGTAGAGCATGGCTTGTAGAAGTCCAATCCTCTTCCTTAGATGCCAACAATCACAACAAAAATCCTATTTCCAGCCAACGTATATTATGTATGCACATATATACACTCACACAAGTACACTCTTACATTCACACAAAATACTGAATATAACTGCAGCAACAATGTAAGGATAGCAACTAACCCTAAGACCACCCTGCCACAAGAAGCACAACCCATGTAGAGAAGCCCTACAGCAGCGGTTCTCAACCTTCCTAATGTTGCGACCCTTTAAAACACTTCCTCATGTTTTGGTGACCCCCAACCATAAAATTATTTTTGTTGCTACTTCATAACTGTAATTTTGCTACTGTTATGTCTTAGGGGACCCCTACGAAAGGGTCATTCGACCCCCAAATAGGTCACAATCCACAGGTTGAGAACCGATGCCCTAGAGGATGAAACCTCATGTGGAAAGAGAGGGGCCAAGAAGCACAAAGGCATCATGTTTTGAGCAGAGAAAGAAGCCATCTTGGAAGTGAATAATCTAGCCCAACTGATGGTTTATGGGTAAGGGCCAAACAGCCAGATAAACCTATTCTAAACTTTTGACAAAAAAAACCATGAGCAAAATAAAGCACTTTAAGCCATCAAAATGACATCACAAGGAGACAGCATTTCACTTACCAGATTGGCAACAATTTAAAACAGTCAATATTGAATATTTTCTACTACTGGAATAAAAATGAGCATACTCACTATAGAAAACAGTTTGGCATTACCTAGTAAAGTTGAACATATATATCTCCTCTAAATGAATTCCACTCCAAGGCAACTCAGTATACTAAAGAAACTCCCACATGTACATGAGAACATTGTTTATATTAGCAAAAAATGGAAAAAAAAAATCACCACTAACAGAAGAACAGATATATTGGTATAACAAAATAGAATATACATCAGAAAATCCTATGAACTATAATTAAACATATCAACATGGATGAATCTCAAAATCATGAGAAATAAAAAAGCAAGTCAGGGAAGAAAACACACTCTTTTATACATTTTATATAAAGTTCAAAACAGAAAAATATTTCAGAAATAAATCAATATATATTGTTTAAGAATACAAGGTTAAGTATTAAAACAATAAAGAGAAGTGAACGCATGATTAAGAAAGAACTCAAGCCCTGGCCGGTTTGGCTCAGCGGTTAGAGTGTCGGCCTGCGGTCCTGAGAGACCCGGGTTCGGTTCCCGCTAAGGGCATGTACCTCGGTTGCAGTTTGTCCCCGGCCCTGGTTGGTTGTGCGGGTGGCAGCCACTCGATGTGTCCCTTTCACATCGATGTTTCTCTCTCTCTCTCTCTGTTCCTCTCTCTCCCCCCCAACTCTACCTGAACAAAAAAAAAAAAAAAGAAAGAACTCAAGGATATTGATGACCCTGAGGAAAATATGCAAATTTGGGGTAAACAAGTATTCGTTTTCTCATTATTTTATAAATTGTTCAGCTACAGTTTAAAAGATTTATTTTTCAATAATCTACCCAGGAAAGTAAAACTTGACAGTGGTGTTTAATGTGGTCCTCCCAAGCTCATCCAAACCAAGTAGAGGGAGGCACAAAGAACAGAACACCAACACCCACAGGGAAAATTTGGCAGGCTCCAAAACCCAGAGATAGCCAAAATGGTGAAACAAAGAAACAAATCCCAAATGAAAGAACAAGACACTCTACCAAAGATGAGATAAATGAAATGCAGTTAAGCAAGTTATCAGAGGTAGAATTCAGAGCCATGATCTTGAGGAAGCTCAATAGCATGAGTAAGAATATCAACACCATGAGTCAAGACACAGAAACATGGAATATCAACCAATTGGAAATGAAAAACCACCAAGAAGAAATGAAGAATGACACAGCAGACATAAAGAACACATTGGAAGGACTAAACAGCAGACTAGAAGAAGCTGAGGACTGGATCAGTGAATTAGAAGACAGGGTAGAAAAAAGTCAACCAATCAGAAAACCAAAAGGAAAAAAAACAATTTAAAAACAAGACAATATATTAAAAGAACTATGGGACAACTGGAAATGTAATAATATTCGAATCACAGGAGTCCCCAAAGAAGAAGAAAATGAGCAAGGGTTAGAGAATATATTTGAAGAAATAGTGACAGAAAACTTCCCTAATTTGGTGAAGGAAGAAGGCATTCAAGTTCAAGAAGGACAGAGAGCCTCAAGTGAGAACCCAAACAGGCCCACACGAAAACACATAGTAATTAAAATGCCAAAAATTAAAGACAAAGAGAGAATCCTAAAGGCAGCAAGAGAGAAACAACAGGTTACCTACAAAGGAACCCCCATAAGGCTCTCAGCAGACATCTCAACAGAAACACTACAGGTCAGAAGGGAATGACATGAAGTAATCAAGGTCACAAAAAACAAGGATCTGAATCCAAGATTACTCTATCCAGCAAGGCTATCATTCAAAACAGAAGGTCAAATAAAGAGCTTCCCGGACAAAAAAAAAAAGGCTAAGGGAATACATTAGCACCAAACCAGCACTGCAAGAAATGTTAAAAGGACTGCTGTAATTAGTAGAAGGAATAGGAAGAAAAATATAACCACACTAAACAAAAATGGCAATAATCACCTTAAATGTAAATGGATTGAATGCTCCCATAAAAAGACACAGAGTAGCTGATTGGATAAGAAAGCATGACTCATATATATGTTGTTTACAAGAGACCCACCTCACAACA